AGTAATCATGATAAAGTTCAGCAAATCGACAAATCGGTGATAATCTAAAGATAAATATCATACATCCGCTTATTGCATCCTTCTATGGGATATGTCTTAATTTTTATTTCATTTTTGTTACTTGCATCTTGGTTGCACAATTTAATCTGCATAATTATCTAATACAACATTTTTTAAATCCTTTTATATAAAAATATAAAACACCTTTCCTCTGTGGATCTGATTATATTTGTAGAAAATAATTGATTTGATTTGATTTTTTGTATATACAATGGTTGATAGATCTTGCTCTTTTTTTAATACATCTATGGACAAAATCATTTATATATTCAATAAAATGTTGAACTAACCACATATGAAGAGTAAAAATAACATAATTAAATGAATTCATACTATTTGAAAAATGTAAAAAAAAAAATACATCCGCACTGAGTGATTCCTTAATGCAAGAAAGTAATAATATTAAAAACAAATAGACAACTAATTCCTATGAATTTCGTTCCACTTGCCATATCATTGATATAACATAACTCTCTCCACCGTGTCTTCAATGTCCATCTATACTTGCTCCATGTGTAAATGTTTGTCTATCTAACGAATAAAATATAATATGTATTCGTGTTTTAACATAATTTTAAAGTCGAACTTTCTCTTTTTTTTTCAGCACGTGTTTGCAGTACGGTGGGTTCTAAATCTGAACGGTGTAGCAGCAAATTAACTATATAGAGAAATAATTATAGAGCCGTTGTTGGAGAACGTACTTTTATGTCAAATTCATAACTTTATCGTTTTTATCACTAATCATATGGGTAGTTAGAATAAAAACACGAATTACATTTTTAATAGATATGCATTGTCCTCCCCCCCCAGACATTACAAACCAGAACAACAGTCATGGTACAAAAGTTGCAAGGGTAAATCGCATAAATTACATCTGAAACAATTAACGCAAACACAATATAACAAATATTGTGTTGGTCGCAAGTAAAAGACTGGAAATTGTTGCATTTAACTATATATTCACAAATTTTCATTTAACTAATCATGTTATTAATGATTATTAGGATATTGGTCTTACTTGATGGATAAATCAAACAATGGGACGACCAATGAGTCTCAATCGATCCATGCCTGCAAAAATGGAACTAAAAAGGTTGGATTGTGCACACCTAATAGCATGAAAACACCAACCACAATAAACAATTTAATTTTATCCGATATGACAAATGGTTAGTATCATTATTTTATTTCTATCGCTTCTATTTTTTTTTTTTCAAGATTTTTTCACTTACATTGATTAAATAATAATATATATGTATCATTGGATGTAATAATTAAAATATTATACATGGATTTCATCCAATTAATCTAACTTACATTGATCAACTATCTGCTTTATGTACTCGAACAAATAAGTCTTAATATTATTTAATTACAAATATATACATTTTTTTTTTAGATTAATTTACACATTTTATTTATTAATATGAACCTCTACTTAAATATATTTGTAAAACTTTACTAATTCGCAATTTCTATGAATGATTGACATTCAATACAGACATCGACATAAGTATAGATATTATGATAATAATACAATATTACATTATGTATCTACACTTTTTTTTCCCTTGATAAGTATGTCTATTTTTTAATTTATTCTTACAGATAATGCATACACTCATAATGATGAAACGTTTCAAATGACAAGGGAAAGAAGCCAATGTACCCTGCAAGTCAATCGAATTATGCCTTCATTCATTCAGCTAATACAAATGTTTACTTTAAATATTATTTAACAACTTCCAATTAATACAAGTTATTATTATGTATCATTATTATATACTACATAAGAATTTGGTCAAGGAAATACAGGTTCTTGCGGTATTTCGATCGATAAATCAAACTTTTAATTATCACCGACTACACCGAATAATTTAATTATATCTCATATTACAAATGGTAATGATAATTTAGTATAGTTATAATTTAATACATATATTTCATGTTACTTAATTCGTCGAACATTTTTTACTACAAATACATCAATGTTAAATTAAAATATTACTGTAATGTGTTTAATTTGGAACAGGCAGATACGTTGGAAGAGTTGCAAAAAATGTTGCAATAACAGGTACGAACAACATTACCATTTGTAATGACGAAAATCAAACTATAATTATATATATATATATATATATATATATATATATATATATATATATATATATATATATATATATATATATATATATATATATATATATATATATATATATATATATATATATATATATATATATATATATATATATATATATATATATAGAGAGATATGTGTGTATTTTATTTAAACAAATTTAGAGTATATGTATATATATATATGTATATATATATATATATATATATATATATATATATATATATATATATATAATTTATTTCATATATAATGAAATACGATTTACCTTTTTTCGAATATATGACACAATTTAAAATAAATTATTTTAAAGGAGGATACTGTTATTTTATTTAAACAAATTTAGAATACACTATCAGCAAAAAGAGTATTGCACAATATGAAGGAGAAACCCGAACTCTGACTGATAAAAGTATGTTAAGTACATACCCAAATGACAAAAAAAGTTATAAGAGAAATCGGGAGGTGACATATAACAATAGTGCAGCAATTTATAAAGGTTTGCACGCAATTGATTAATTAGCATCATTAAAATAATTATTCAATATTTTCTTACAAATGTCTTTAATAATATGTCCAACAGATGCTACTCTGTACAAAATGGATGAGATACATAGCATTGGCAGCGTACCAAATATTTCTTCTAATACATGCTATGAAACCAACAAAAGATACATTTTCGTAATCGGTCTGAGTCACAACATTAATACAAGTATGTAATAGAACTGAAGTGTCGTTACGTTACCGTAGCCAATATATTAAAAGTATTATGATTTTTTTATTCATTGACTGTATAGTTCTTCGGTGCGTACCGGAAAGAGGATATTAAATAGTCAAAAAATCATAGATTATGTTACACGTGGTTTGGATATGGATTCAACACCCATCACTTTGGCCAATGAAGATTTACAAACTCTACGGAAAATTACTTCGGACATTAGAGGTATGTGTTATACTTTAAGTTTACATTTATCACGTAAAATTTGTCGTAGATAAATGGTTAATAATATTCAATTGATATCATTATAATTTTTATTAATATAGAATCAAAATATGTATCCAATGACGACACCTTCACCGATTCAGACGATGGTGATGGTAAGTTCTCCAATTTAAATCATGTATGATAACATGTAATTTTAATCATAATAACAAATGTCTTTCTCATATGTAGAATATGACGATCTTGGTGACCAGTCGTACAAAGGCCAATCATGTGGCGCAATGATGTGGTACGGAGAAAGGAGTGAGAATAAAAATGGTACATCAAATCCTAAGTTTTCAATGTGTTGTAATGGAGGAAAAGTCGAACTGCCCAATTTAATAGAAGCACCAGATCCCCTAAAGAGTCTCCTATTTGGTACTGATCAAAGAAGCAAGCATTTCCAAGAACACATACGGTCGTATAATATGATGTCCTTATTCACATCCTTTGGTGGAAAGATACATACTACGATAAATAGAGGATCCGGTATGTGCACTATTTTTCTGCATGGCCAAAACTACCATTTAATAGGGAGATTGTTTCCAGATGAAGGATCGCGTCCCAAGTTTGCTCAGCTTTATATATTTAACACGGGGAACAAAGTGAACAATCAAGACATTTACTTTACATTTGATTTCATCGTTGCAGATCTGGAGACACTTTCAACGATGTGGATCATGATATTATTTCTACATTGAAGGATATGGTCGAAAACTCCAATTTGCTTGCTCAGTCTTACAGAGCTGCTCGGGACCGGTTCTCACAGACAGGGATGCAAGGTGTGGTTGTCACAGACAGAGATGCAAGGTGTGAAATTGACACTGATAAAGAACTGGAGTATGGATGGCCGTCCTTACAATATGCCAAACTCCAGTGAAATCGCATGACTCATTGTTGGTAATTTTGACACTCGGGAGGGTGTTAGAGACATAGTGGTCGAGACACAATCGAAAAAGCTTCAGCGAATCAGTTAGTTGCACCCCATATTATCTTCCATTGCAGTAACCGCTAATATTTCCTTACGGTGAGGGTGGGTATAGGGACGATATACCATTGAGGGAAACATCAGCGAGTGGTACACGTACACACAAGAAGTTAATCATGCGACAGTACTTTGCGTAGAGGATCCAGAAAAGATTTGGTGACAATATTGTGCCAGCAAGTCATGGTCGACGTATTTTCAATGGTTGAATTGGAAAAACTAAAATTCATAAGATTTAACTAGGATAAGTTGAGAGTTGACATGTACAAGGGTCTCGAGTAAAGTATTTTGAAGGGAGATACATATGCTAGATCCATTGGTATGGGAGTTATTCTACCTGGTAGTTTTACCCAAGGTCCAAGATACATGTTTGACAACTTCGTCGATGCTCTTCAAATATGCAACTGGATTGGATTTCCATCGTTGTTTATCACTATAACCTGCAATCCATAGTGATTGGAAATACAAAGAGCGTTGAGCGGTACTAATTTGAGACCTGAAGACCGTCCCGATATTCTTGCTCGAGTTTTTAAGATGAAGCTCAACTGTCTGATGTCATATTTGAAGAAGGGCAAAATATTTGGTCGCATTAGAGCATGTAATTATCAAGTTATACTTTACATACATAACATATTATATATTTTACACATTGTCTACTCTTATAATATTATAAATGTTCTCTTCGATCAATTATTGAAAATATTTATATACAAGTGATATCAAATACGTTTAAACTGTAAAACTTTTCAGATGTCCGCACAATTGAGTTTTAGAAGCTTGGTTTGCCGCATGTGCACATATTGATTTGGTTTCACAACGAAGACAAACCGAAGATGTTGAAAGACATAGATAAAATCATATGTGCCGAAATCCCGGATAAGATAACTGACCGAAAAATGTACGATTTGGTGGAGAAGTATATGATTCATGGCCTGTATGGTTTGGCCAATCAAAACTCTCCATGCATGAAGGACGGAATTTGCACGAAGCGATTTTCAAAGAGTTTTTTCAACCGTATTGAGGACGATGCGGATGGTTATCCGATGTATAGAAAAAAAGAAAATGAGAGGACCGTGGTTAAGAAGAAAACGTTTCTCGACAACGTCTTTGTCGTGTCGTATAACCGTGTTCTACTCAAAAAGTACAGAGCACACATTAATGTCAATTTGTGCAACAAAAATAAGTCGATAAAGTATTTTCTCAACTACGTCAACAAAGGACACGATCGGGTCACAAAGGCATTTTATCAATCAAATAATCTTGGTGCAAGTCCTGAAAGTCATGATGAGATAAAGATGTACTACGACTGCAGATATCTTTCGCCATGCGAGGCTGCTTGGAGGTTATTTAGCTTTGACATTCACTTTAGAGACCCACCGGTGATTAGATTAATATTTTATGTTTCAGACAGTCATGGTGTTGTGTTTACAGATAATGACTCATTAGTTGATGTACTGAACAGACCGACTGCGAAGCAAACGATGTTCCTGGCTTGGTTCCATGCAATAAGTTGTACCCCGAAGCTAGAAATTTGTGGTATGGAGAGTTTCCACAGAAATTTTTCTATAAGGAAAAAGCTCGACGTTGGATGCCGAGAAAGATAGGATTCTCGATAGTAAGAATTACGAATGTACCACCGGGCAGGGGTGAAAACTATTACTTGAGACTGTTGCTAAACTTTCAAAGAGGTTGCACGTGTTACGATGATCTTAGGAGAATTGAGGATCACGTCTACACAATTTTTAAAGATGCGTGTTTTGCGCTTGGACTGTTAGACGACAACAATGAGTACATTGCTAGCATAAAGGAAGCAAAAGAGTGGGCCAACCATCACTTTGTGAGAAGATAATTTGTCGTAGTTTTGGTTGTGAATAATATGAGCAGAACGGAATATGTGTGGGAGTGTTGTTGGAAGAAATTCGCGGAGGACATTGCGTACAGACTACCAATTCAGGTATGACAATACGTCTTACATTGTTTCACAATTTACTACAAATGTTTGAATTAAAAGTATATATTTTTATAATCGCCACATTGTGTTAATTTTTCATATTAAACTATATTGAAGGTCCACCTGTGTCCGACGATGCTCCGAGAAACTACGTTTTGATCGAAATTGAAAACATATTACAAAGCAACATCAAAAGTTTGAGTAACTTTCCCCCAATGTCGATCCCGATTGGGTCGATGATGGACACCACGGTAAACAAATTGGCTATCGACGATTTGGACTATGACGTGGATGCAATGCGTGAAAAACTTAAGAAATACCTTTCATCCATTACTGATGAGCAAAAAAAGTGTTTGATGATATCATAGATGTTGTTACAAATGACAGAGCTGGACTGTTCTTTCTTTATGAGCATGGAGGAACGAGAAAGACTTTCATATGGAAAACTTTATCGGCTGCTATCCGTTCAAAAGGCGAAATAGTTATAAATGTTGCTTCCAGTGGCATTGTTTCGCTTTTACTTCCCAGTGGCAGAACTGCACATTCGAGATTTTGACTGCCAATAATTGTACATGAGAGCTCAACATGCAGCATCAAACAAAAAAGTTCACAGGCATAATTGTTGTCTAAAGCAAAGGTAATCATATATGACGAAGCACCGATGATGCACATGTACTGTTTAGAAGCACTTGACAAGGCAATGAAATCGATACTTGATCCAGATATGACATTCGGAGGCAAGGTTGTAGTTATTGGAGGGGTTTTTCGGCAAATTCTGCCAGTTGTGTTGAAAGAATCGAGACAAGACATTGTTCATGCTACAATCAATTCATCACCATTGTGGAGACAATGTAAGGTTATGGAGTTGAACAAGAACATGAGACTTCAGTCGTCCTCCTCTTCTGCCAATGCAAATGAAATAAGATAATTTGCAGAGTGGATATTGAGAATCGGCAATGGCGATGTTGGCGAGGTCAAGGATGGTGATGCTACAATTGAAATTCCCGATGACATGCTGATTCGTGATTCTGCAGATTCCTATTTGAATCTTATCGAGTTTGTTTATCCCGATCTGGTGAGCAACCTGTTCACTCATTATTTTCGAGGGTAGGGAAATTCTTGCACTAACTAATGAAAGTGTCGATTTTGTGAATAATCATTTTTTTGTCGACCATAACTAGAGAGGAGAAGGTCTATTTCAGCTCTGATAGTATGTGCAAGGAGGAGTTATTATCATATATCAACGCAGAAATATATTCCACCGAGTTTCTCAACAATATATCATGATCCGGAATTCCACCGCATAAGTTGACGTTGAAAATAGGTGTTCCCGATATGCTCATCAGAAATATTGATCAGGCCAGAGGATTTACAATGGAACCAGGCTTCAGGTTATTAATATGTGAAAAAACATTCTCAACTACAGGATCCTATCTGGTAAACATGTTTGCGATATGGTGTTCATACCTCCACTGACTTTGGTACCATCCAACTTTGCATTTCCTATTAAATTCCAGCGATGTCAGTTTCAGCTGATGGTCTCATTCGCAATGACAATCAATAAAAGTCAAGGATAGACTATTTCTCATGTAGGAATGTACTTGCCCGTACCTGTTGTCAGTCACGGACAACTCTATGTTGCACTCTCGAGAGTTAAGAGTCAGAGTGGCATAAAGATTTTGATCAACTCGAAATCTAGCGATACGACCAACGTTACAAATAATGTTGTATACAAAGAAGTTATTCAGCGTATATGAAGGTAATACTATATCAAATTTTATACAATATTAAATAACAACCTTTATTTTTTATCTTTCGCCATATGTTTTGTTATTCCTCATTTGTAGGTTTATTTAAATTGTACTACGAACTTGCTATGGACTTCGCTCAATTTTTTCATGAGGGTAATTTTTTTAAGATTGATTTGTATCATTAAACATTTATATTGGTATTTTTTTGGTAATGTTTTACCTATTTCCTATGATCATTGTACAAAATATGCAGGTCGATTACAATGTATTGGATTCATTGCATGCATTTGGGGTGATTGGTATCAAACAAAATAACACTGATTATTTGGATCAAATTCAAGTTTTCAACGTTCATGTCATTATGGTTGTACATGTTTGGGACCAACGATATATTCGCTCTTTGTATGCGGAAATTAAAACCTTCGATGTTTATTTTTTCACTTATTTCGGCTTATTTCATCACTTACACCATACAAATTAGTTTTCTTTTTGAATATTTTCTACTTTATGTTACTTATCAACAATTGATCTTATTATTTCGAGAACCTTTTTATTATTAAATATTTGTTTTACGATGAATATCCCGTGCATCGCACGGGTGTAGTACTAGTTGCTTTAACGCACGCAATTCAAAATTTTGAAATCCGGATTTTTACCTTCAGTTTTAACCAGCGAGTGTTGAGCGTAAGGCCATCTCCACTAGATTGGTCAAAATTAATTGTTTTTATCTATAATATGAGAAATGAACAGTGTTTTTTTTTTTTTTTTGAAGAGGAAATATTATTAGGCTTAATTAGCCAAATGAGGGGGAAGAATAAAGCCTTCTAAGCAAGAAGTGTCATCCAGTTTAGCTAAATCGTTAGCCAGCTTATTACCAATTCTTTTAATAAAACTAAATGATATGAAATGAAAATTACAAGCCAAATTCAAACACTCTTCAATAACGGCTCCAAAAGAGAAGGAGTTTGATCCTCCATTTTTAAGGGTTGTCATCACCTGTATGTTATCCCCTTCGATAATAAGTGAGTGCCACACCTTGTCTGCCTTAGCCTCACCATGCGCCGGGTTCGGTCGACCCAAATGTTGTTCAACTTTCCAATAAATACATTGGCCCCGCGAGTCTCGTGCCACCATTGATGTACGGAAATAGTTCTTGTCTTTTGGGAAAGCTGCGTCAACGTTCACTTTAAGAGTGCCTTGCGGAGGAGGAAGCCAAGTGGAGGGGTGAACCAGCTGCTGCCTAATCATATGCCCATCATTAGCTCGGTGAAACAGATCTAGGTACGCCGAGCACCAATCAAGTAAGTTTGCCACTCTCATTTCGTTTTCACCATGGAGTTCTTGATTTCTAATATCCCATGTTTTCCACATAACCACCAGCGCCAATTGGAATGAATTGCTTGGGAGAGTGACCAATAGGTGTTCAAGCCACATCTCAAAAGAAAGTTCCACCTGTAGATAGGAACCTTGAAAAGGTGATGCTGACCAGAGTTGTTGCATGCCTCGACACTGTGTAAAAATGTGCATCAAAGACTCGGTTGTGCCACAGTTACGACAAAACGGAGAAGAGCTCACTTTTCGTCGGAAAAGTTCCAAGGCCGTTGGAAGGATGTTGGTGAACGCTCGCCAGATGAAAATACGAATTTTGGGAGGAATATCAATTTTCCATATCTTCCTGATAAATGCATGGGCGTCTTGACCCGATGATTGCCCGCCCGAGGCCACCGTCCCCATGTCCATATTCAAGCGTTGAAGAATAAGACGATAGCACGAACTTACCGTGAATCGGCCGTGTGGTGTATAGTGCCAAATGTCCCTATCCTCAACCGAAGCTCCACCTAGTGCCACCGAGGTGATTCGATCCCAGTCCACAGGCCAGAAGATCTGCTCAATAAGCGGAACGTTCCACGAGGATGAAGATGGGTTAATGATATCTGCCACCTTGTCGGGAAAGGGCTGTGTATCGGCCTTCTGGTAATGATCTTGAGGTTGCCATCTTCGGTTACCCATTGATCGCCTCATATCGCTGTGGTAAAACCGTTTCCAATTCTCCTTCGAATGCCCGCCTTGAGGTGTGTTCTTGCCGCTAAAATACTCTTCCATGTATTAGATGGGCGAGAGCCAATATCCGCCGAGAAGAAGTCACCATTTGGGAAGTATTTTGCTTTGAGCATCCGTGATAGGAGTAAATCCGGATGAGAAATAATTCTCCATCCTTGTTTTGCCAAAAGTTCCAGATTGAAACTTTTCAAATCCCGAAAACCCATCCCGCCCTCAGCCTTTGGTAATCACATTTTCCTCCAAGATAGCCAAGCTAATCCTTTATTGTTTCCGTTTCCCCACCAATATCTTCGAATAGCAGACTCAATTTCCGATAATAAGCTGTCCGGCATCAAAAAACAACCCATTACATAAGTTGGGATGGATTGGAGAACCGACTTTATCATAATTTCTTTGCCCGCTCTAGACAACTGTTTCTCACCCCACCCTTTAGTTTTGACCCATATTCGATCTCTCAAGTAACTAAAGATCTCTTGTTTCGTACGTCCGATGGCACACGGCATCCCAAGGTACTTATATTGATGCTCTTCCACCTTAAACCCTAAAATGTGATGCATTCTAATTTTAATATTCATCGGCGTAGATGGGTTGAAGACCATCGTTGATTTGTCAAGGTTAATTTCTTGGCCCGAAATCCTTGCATAAGTATCAAGAATCTCCTTCAGAGCTCTAGCATTCGTTTCCGCCGCACTACAGAAGAACAAGGTGTCATCCGCGAAGCATAGGTTCGTGATCACTGGAGCTGTGGGAGCGATCTTCACTCCGTGAATTCGGTCCTCATGCACAGCTCGTTCAGTCATGGCAATCAGAGCCACAGAGCAACAAATGAAAAGGTAAGGAGAGAGGGGATCTCCCTGCCGGAGACCGCGCGACGGCCGCACCGAGCCAAACTGAGCTCCATTTAAAAAGAAAAGCATAAGAGACAGACATGATACATAGCATAATCAAATCTATAAATGAAGAGGGCAATCCAAAGCGAGAAAGAATTTTCTGGATAAAGGGCCATTCAATTCGATCGTAGGCTTTACTAATATCTAATTTTATAGCCATATAATTACGACGGCTATTCGAGTGTGTTCTAATAAAATGGTTAGTCTCATAAGAAACAAGGATGTTGTCCGTGATAAGACGTTTAGGTACGAATGCAGATTGAGTAGGAGAGATTAAGTCATTCAGGACCAATTTCAGGCGATTAGCTATCACTTTAGAACCTATTTTGTAAATAACATTGCACAAGCTTATAGGTCTATAATCAGTGACTTTTTCGGGTTTCTTGACTTTAGGGATTAATACAATGAATGTGAAGTTTAGACGGGGGGGGAAGAATCTTATCATTCAGAAATTTAAGAACACATGCAGTGACATCGGACCCTAGGATATGCCAGTATTTTGTGTAAAAAATGACAGGGAGGCCATCATGGCCGGGGGTTTGAGAGGGGCCATTTGAGAAATGGCCCGATGTACCTCATCGGCGGTGTATGGGCGAGATAGGAGCTGACTGGCGGTCGCCGAAATTCGTGGCTCGATACACTGCATCGTCTCATCTATCTCTTCATCGGCAGGGTGCGTACTTCGGAAAATATGCTGAAAATAATCCGAAATTATCCGCTCGATACCCTCCGGTTTGTCTTTCCAATTCCCCGAACTATCCCTAATGCGGTCCACCCGATTCGCCTTCTGTCTCAAGGTCGCCTTAGCGTGAAAAAAACTGGTGTTACGATCTCCCTCTTTCATCCACTGAATACGGCTTCTTTGATGCCAGTAGGTGTCATTATCCACATAGAGTTTCTCCAGCTCAGCTCGAAGTGTCGTATCCTGCCTATTCCCATCCGTTTGAATACCTGTTGGTCGAAAACCTACACGCAAGTGCACGTATCGTACAAGTAATATAGTGGACAATTAAGTCCGGATATCGAACCCACAGGGAATATTTAATTACTTAATCCTAGACGCTAAATTCTACCAATTATTATCAAGCCCACCCTACACAGTCGAGTTTTGAGAGAATAAACTAAATTAAACTAAATTAAAAACAAACAAAAACAAGAAAGCAATTAAAAACGAAGATTTAATCAAAGTAGACAAGCCTAGGATTTTATTCTTCCCCCTATGTGATTATTACTCCCCCAATTCCCTCAATTATGCAAGCAATTAACCCGGATTATTAACCTGAGATGCTAAAATAATCATAACCCGCTTCCGCGTGTATTACGATTCTAATACTCTAGATTCAATTACTATATTCCTATGCAATTAATTCTAGAACACAGCATTAAGCACAAATCTCAATAATGGCTACCTAAGAGATTAACTATATTCCTATGTTAATACCACAAAGGCTCTTCTACCACAGTTCTAATTATTAACCCGATCTTCCGATTCATGCGATTAACAATAACATAAAAGCACATAAGTTGATCAAGTTCATGCACTTAATAAAACAAGTAGAAGAAATAATCCGGAATTAAAACTTGCATAAAATCATAGAAAAGGGTTCATAAATCCCACATAGGGTTCCAAATAAAATCCTAGAAATAAGTAGTTTAGCTACTCATAATTAAATCAAAAACGCAAATAAAATAAATCATAGACGATAAATCTTTGCTTGGAGTCTTCGAATTCTTCGTCTTCGTTATTGCTTTGTTGCTCTTGAAATTGCGTAAAAAGATGGATCCCTAATTGTGTGCTTGGCTTGGTCTTATATAGGGTGAAAAACTTGGGGAAGAAGGCAGTTTCCTTGTACAATTAAGATTCCCTCACTGCGCCAACTCGCCCATCCGGACGGCCGTGTGAGATTTATGCCTAAAATCCGCACGGCCGCGCGGTCTATTCTCCAGAATTCTGCTTTTTTCACTTTTGGCCCATATTTTCTCCAAAATTTCAGTTTTGACCCCATACTTTTCCAATTCTTCAATTTGTACCTAAAATACAATAAATCAACTTTT